GTAGAGATGGAGTTCTTGCTATATGTTGCCCAGGCTGGTCTAAATCTCTTGGGCTGAAGGAATTCCACTTCAGCCTCCCAAAGTGCTGGGATTACAGTTATGAGCCACTGTGCCTAGCTGGTAATCTTTCTTTTAATGAAACTCTTCACAAAAGACTGTATTATTTTAAAAATAAACCTCACTTAAAATAACTAATTTAAAAATGAAAACATAATCTCAAGTTTTTAAGATTAGTTTATCAATTTGATTATGTCAGCCAATAAAGTTCTATTAATTAAAGGGCAACTCAAAATTACTTATAACTTATATTTTGAAATAAAAACAGATACTTACCAAGTGGAGCTTTCAGAAAACGCCGCTCAATGCCCTGCTCTATTTGAAAGAGTGCCATTGCCAGATAATGAACCACACTGCTCACTGATTGTGGAGTACTGGCATTAGTTGATGCAGTACTTGGAGTTTCTGTTTTTATCCCCAAAAGTCTACAATTAAAACATTTAAGAGTTTATGGTACTTAAAAACAATATTAATTATAACTTGAGCCCATTCATTGATTCAAATGCTTATTTCCACCTTTGTAAAAAAATCACTTCCTCAATCTCAAGGAGCTACAGCCAACTAGTAGGGAAGGGAGATTCATTTAGAAGGACTAACGGTAAATATTTGAAGGAGAGAAAGTAGAAGAGGGAAGGCTTATGGGAAAGGTTTGAGAGAGGTGACATTGTAATAGGTCTTAAAGCCTAAGTATCTTGGGCAGCTTATCTCTATTTCTCTTGTTTCAACATTTTTTCTTGCTTCAAACTGCTGGGTAGATTTATTGCTACCTAACTAGTTCATTAACCTCCAGTCTTGCTCCCTCTTCATTAAATCTCCACATTCCAGTGAAAATAATCACTTTTTTTTTTTTGAGATGGAGTCTGGCACTGTTGCCAGGCTGGAGGGCAGTGGCACGATCTCAGCTCCCTGCAACCTCTGCCTCCCAGATTCAAGCGATTCTCCAGCCTCAGCCTTGCAAGTAGCTAGGATCACAGGCGTCTGCCACCATGCCCAGCTAATTTTTTTGTATTTTTAGTAGAGATGGGGTTTCACTATGTTGGCCAGGCTGGTCTCGAATGCCTGACCTCGTGATCCACCTGCCCCAGCCTCCCAAAGTGCTGGGACTACAGGCATGAGCCCCAACACACCTGGCTTAAAATGATCACGTTGAAGTGCAAATTCATTCACTCAAAGCCTTTGTACATGGTTTTTCTTCCCAGTGTCCTATTTTCCTCAACTTTAGGGTTCAGCTTTGTGGTCACTGCCTCTCGTACTTCCTTTACTATCTCCCATGTTCCCCTAAGACAAGTAGCTCTCCCATGTACTTCATTTGCATGGGATATAACCTTCTATCAGCACCCCGTTCTAGTAAATGTAATGCTAGCCTCATGTATCTCCACTGTTCCCTTCTAGATGACAAACTGCTTAAAGGCACATAATATCCAAAATAATCTTGAAAAAAAAAAGTATCTATAGATATATGGATATGTTATTAATAATATTTAATACTTATATATTTATTTAGAGAAGAGGTCTCATTGTTGCTCAGGCTGGAGTAGAGTGGCACAATCATTATTAGCTCACTGCAGCTTTGAAGTCCTGGGATACAAAGCTGGAGACGATGGGACTACAAGTGCAGGCCAGCCAGTGGTGGTGGCCCACACCTGTAATCCCAGCACTTTGGGAGGCCGAGGTGGGTGGATCATGAGGTCAGGAGATTGAGACCATCCTGGCCAACACGGTGAAACCCTGTCTGTACTAAAAATACAAAAAATTAGCTGGGCATGGTGGTGCCTGTGATCCCAGCTACTCAGGAGGCTGAGGCAGGAGAATTACTTGAATCAGGGAGTTGGAGGTTGTAGTGAGCTGAGATTGAGCCACTGTACTCCAGCCTGGCGACAGAGCAAGACTCCGCCCCACCCCCCCCAAACAAAAACAAAAACAAGTGCATGCCACCGTGCCCAGCTAATTTAAAAAAAAATTTTTTTTTTCTTTTTTTAAAAAGAGACAGGATCTCTCACTATGTTGCCCAGGCTGGTCTCCAACTCCTGGCTTCAAGCAGTCTCCCTGCTTCAGCCTCCGGAGTAGCTGAGACTATAGGCCCACGCCATCTTGCCTGGCTCAAACAATATTTAAGTCTACCAGAATTTACCAATTTACTAAGTTTCCCTACGGAAAAGAAAAAAGATAGTACAGGTACTTTCTGAAATTAATAAAACCTTAAGTTCAAATATTTAAAAAAATACTCTTGAGAAATTATCATTATTCTAATAAACTGTCTTTTGGTTGGATTAGTACAAAGTGGAGTAACAAAGATCCTGAGTTTTGGAAAATGATTATTCCAGTGGTCTTCATGACAAGTTTTAAAAATAAGAAAAGGCAACATACTTAAAAACAAAAAACAAAAACAAAAAAAACATGGCAAAGAAAAGTAATGGTTACTTTGGAAAAAATCCTTTTGTACCTGTCTTTTACTATGACCTTTGTTTGTTCATCAATTTCCATCTCTTCCACATCTTCATTCACAGTTTTAATTATCCCATTTTCCTTGTTTTCCTCACTTAACAGCTCATACCGTCCACTTTCTAATGCTGATCTCCAGATATGTCGATCTGTAACCTGTAACAAAATTCAAACTTACTAACCATGAAAAATGGAATATATTGTTTCTGAGAGGTATGACGTTCAATATACATATAAAATCAATTCATGGATATTTTAGAAATGATTATGAATTAAAAAGGGATCTAAAAATTAGGTTACTAAGTGGCCAAACTGGAATTCATATTCTTCATAGATGAAAACCTTACTTTCTGTATAAATACATCACAAACAGTTCTCAGATTGGTCACTTGATAGCAGCAAAAAAGTGGCCGATGAGGGCAAAGGCATGAACAGAATACATTATCAGCCATGAATTACAGATTTTAAAAAGGTGACAAAGATACCAACAAATGAATGACTCAGCAGAGAAGGCAGGGGCTAGTCAAGGAAGAAGAAAATATCCTTATACATTTCAACATATGATGAAAATCTTATAAAAAATATTTTGATGCAGGGAAATAAAGTTAGTTTTCATAAAAAATTTATCACTCTCTGGTGTTTATTCAAAACACATATGCCTTATCTATGTCATGTAGACAACAAATATGACCAAAATTCTGGACCAAGCAGATTAGACATATTAAAAAGGTGACCAGGTACAAACCTTGATTGCTCCTAATGTTCCTTGGTAGATTCTATCTTCAATATCTAAAAGAAAATCTCTCAGCCTCAATTCAAGTTGCTTTTCTGCAGACATCTGAGATGGATCATACGTACTGGAAGATCTTCCCCGACTATATGTTGGTTTGCTATCGGGCTGCAGTTTGTCTGAAACAGTAATCAAATACTTTTATCATGATTTTCTTATTAAAAAACTACAATTATTCCATGTAATTGTTATGATCTTGAAATAAATGGATATAAAAGTGCTCTGTAAATCCCCAAGTGCCACAAATGAATGAATGAATGAATGAATGAATATAATTTATCTTATAAAGCCCCTTGTACAGCTATTCAGGAGACTGAGGCAGGATTGCTTGAGCCCAGGAGTTTGAGTCTGCAGTGAAACTATGATTATGCCACTGTACTCCAGCCTGGGCAACACAGCGAGACTCTGTCTCTAAATAAATAAAGCCCTTGTATCCAGAATATATAAAGAACTTTTACAGCACAATAAAAGGACAACCCAATTTACAAATGGGCAAAGGATCTGAAAAGATATTTAAGAAAGATATACAAATTGCCAATGAGCACATGAAAAGATGCTCAACAATGGCCAGGCACAGTGGCTCATGCCTGTAATCCCAGCACTTTGGGAGGCCAAGGCAGGTGGATCACTTGAGGTCAGCAGTTCAAGACCAGCCTGGCCAACATAATGAAACACAAAAGAAAGAAGAAAAAACACTTCCCAATTATCAAACCAATCTGACAACAACCGAAACAACAGAGAAATTTAATTCCAACATATTATCAAAGTCAAGGCAGATTATCAGGGGTCCAAGCTCTTTCTATCTTGTTGGTACTGCCATCCTTAGGGTTTTTCTGCCCTTCTCAGGTTCCAGAATGATTTATTTCTATGTCTGCATTCTAGCTAGTTGGAAGTGGGTAGGAAGAAGGGGAAGCGCAGCCCAGAGGGTATACACAATGCTTTGATCCTGTATCTTTCAACAAAGAAACCCCATCTCTACTAAAAATACAAAAAATTAGCTGGGCCTGGTGGCAGGCACCTGCTATCCCAGCTACTTGGGAGGCTGAGACAGGAGAAATACTTGAACCTGGGAGGCAGAGGTTGCAGTGAGCTGAGACCGTACCATTGCACTTAAGCATGGGCAACAAGAGTGAAATTCTGTCTCAAAAAAATAAATGGCTGTGTGTGGTGGCTCACACCTGTAATCCCAGCACTTTGGGAGGCCAAGGTGGGCAGATCACCTGAGGTCGGGAGTTCGAGACCAGCCTGACCAACATGGAGAAACCCTGTCTCTACTAAAAATACAAAATTAGCCAGGCGTGGTGGCATGCACATGTAGTCTCAGCTACTCGGGAGGCTGAGGCAGGAGAACTGCTTGAACCCAGGAGGCGGTGATTGCGGTGAGCCAAGATCGCACCATTGCACTCCAGCCTGGGTAACAAGAGTGAAACTGTCTCGAAATAAATAAATAAATAAATAAATAAATAACAAAAAAAGAATTGTGATCTGTAGTTTTTAATCCTGAAAAAAAAAACTAAAGTAGTCATGGTAACATACCCCTAAATTTTAAGCAATTCTTTTTAAAAATTTATTTTAATTAAAATGTTTTTAGCTCTATTTTCTCCCCCACAGGAAACAAGTAAGCAATTCTTTACCTAGAGACTCCCATTTATTAATACAAAAACTCACATCTAAAAATGCCTTACTGCTTTATCTTATTTGTCATCAACAGACGAACCATCAAACAGGAAATGCTGCTCTCCAACCTGCCCTTGCAGCCAAGGTCCAAAGAAGTGATCATTAGTGGAACTTCTCCCTGGACTCTCAGTCAAAACCCTTAATGAGTAACCTCAGTCTCCATAATCTGTCCAAAATTGATGGCAGCCTTAAAGTCTATTCTTGGCTTTCAGAGTCTGCTGACCAAGGAATAAGGAGATCAGGAAGAATATGTATCTTGTTATACCATAGATGTGTTCCTCATAATTCAAATATAAGCCAGTGGAATTTAGATAATCTTGTTTCTATAAAGAAATACATTCCTAAACTCTAACTTGCAAACTAAGAGGATAACCTAAATTAAAGATGAGGTGTTGTAAATGTATTTCTAATAGCTTGAAAAAATGCTTCATCCTGAATGACCAGAGATTAGAGGGAGGAAAAAAAATTAAAAAAAATTTTCATTGAAAATTTACCTGAAAAATGAAATTTCTCTTCAGAAAAACGGGCTAGCTGTGCACATATTCTGCTTTTCTCTTGTAACAAAGTTTCTTTTAAGGCACTTTCTCTATGTCCTCTAGAATTAAGAGCTTCAATAAGCTGGTCTAGCTGTTCACAGGAACTGTAAAAGCACCATCGATTTGGCTTATGCACTGGTTTTGGCAGCTGCACAGAATGGTCACATGGACCTTGGTCAATGTTGGAGGTAGATTCAGATATCGAAGGCTCTCCAGTTTCAGTGGATACCTGAGGATCTTGAGACTGTACATTATTCTGAAATGATGAAGGTCTAGGCAACAGCATGTCTTCAGTAAGACCAGAATAATCTTCTTCAATAAAGAGTCCAGGAATAGAAGGGAAAATCCAGTATCGTCTATACATGCGGTCACGACCCAAGGGAAAGATATTGGTACAGGCTATGGCACTTTGGATTTTTTCTAAGAGCTCTTTCTCTTTTCGTTGGTGTTCCTGTTTTAATGCTTCTTCCTCATCAGCAGTAAGAGGATCTCTTGTTACACAGTTGATCTCTTCTTGCCTTGTAAATTCTTTAAATCCATTTTGTCCTCTTTTCCCTATAGTTAAAATAAAATGTTTCATAATCAGTATATTTCAAATTTCCATTAGAAAAATATGAGATACAAAGTTACCCCAAGTTATTAGGTTTTATGGACTAAACTGTGTGCCCTCCCCACTGAAGCCCTAACCTCCAATGTGACTGTATTTGGAGATAGAATCTTTAAGGAGGTAATTAAGGTCATAAAGGTGGGGCCCTAATCCAACATGACTGGTGTTACTAACACTCTGTTAGTAAAAAATCAATATAGTTATATCTAAAGGGGCATGCAAAATCTGTAATTTCCATGCTGGTAACTACAGTAGAGTATGTTAGTTATCCTTCAGTAGTCATCCCAGTCCTTCCTCTATGGCAGGAATCACAGCAAACTACTTCTGGAGAGGACTAGCTTATAAATATTTGTCTTTGTGGATCTTACGGTCTTCGCAGCTATTCAGTTCCACTATTGTGGCCCAAAGCAGTCACAGGCAACACGTAGACAATGAGCATGGCTTTGGTTCAATATTACTATTTATGGACAGTGAAATGTGAATTTCATATAATTTTCACTTATCACAAAGTAGCATTCTTCTTTTTTTTTCCACCATTTAAAATGTAGAAATCCAGCTGAGTGTGGTGGCTCATGCCTGTAATCCCAGCACTTTGGGATTACAGCCGAGGTGGGTGGATCACCTGAGGTCAGGAGTTCGAGGCCAGCCTGGCCAACATGGTGAAATCCCATCTCTACTAAAAATACAGAAATTAGCTAGGTGCGGTAGCAAGCGCCTGTAATCCCTAATCCCAGCTACTTGGGAGGCTGAGGCATGAGAATCGCTTGAACCCAGGAGGTGGAGGTTGCAGTGAGCCAAGTCACACCAGTGCACTCCAGCCTGGGGGATAGAGTGACACTGTGTCTCCAAAAAAAAAAAAAAAAAAAAAAAAAAGGGTCCCATGATAGGCTGTAAAAAAAAAAAAAAAAAAAGGAAAAATCCTTTTTAGCTTATAGCAGGGTAGGGCTGGGCGAGGTAGCTGACACCTGTAATTCCAGCACTTTGGGAGGCCGAGGTAGGTGGATCATATGAGGCCAGGAGTTTGAAACCAGCCTGACCAACATGGTGAAACCCCATCTCTACTAAAAATACAAAACTCAGCCAGGTGTGGTAGCATGTGCCTGTAATGCCAGCTACTTGGGAGGCTGAGTGAGGCAGGAGAATTGCTTGAACCCGGAAAGCAGAGGTTGCAGTGAGCCAAGATGGCACCACTTCACCCCAGCCTGGGCAACACAGCAAGACGTCGTCTCAAAAAACAACAACAAGAAAAAAAAATGGGGCAGGCCAGATTTGGCATACAAACTGTTATTTACTAATTCCTGGTGTAAGGTAATAGAACCACTTGTTTTTAGCTGGGCAATTAGCAACCCAAAAGGACGTTTCCCATAGTAGGCATGACTACATGAAAAACTTTTGTTCAAAGATACAGAATCAGAAGCATTGTATGTAACCTCTGGGCTGTGCTTCCCTTTCTTCCTACCCACTTCCAACTAGCTAGAATGCAGACATAGTGATAAATCATTCTGGAACATGAGAAGGGCAGAAAAACCCTAAGGATGGCAGTACCAACAAGATAGAAAGAGCTTGGACCCCTGATAATCTGCTTTGACTTTGATAATATGTTGGAATTAAATTTCTCTGTTGTTTTGGTTGTTGTCAGATTGGTTTGATAGTTGGGAAGTGTTTTTTCCTTCTTTCTTTTGCTTGAAAGAGTCTGTGTAAGATTGGAATTATCTGCTTTTTAAAAAATGTGACAGGATTCACTCATAAAGTTGTCTAGTACTGATGTTTTCTCTGCAAAAAAATTTTAGCATTGATTCAAGTCCTTTAATGGTTTAAGACCATCCACATTAAAGAATTTCTTTATAAATCCATTTTGATAATTTGTATTTTTCTAGGATTTTATTTTTGCATATATTTTCAAATTTATTATCAAAAAATTATATATTATCTCCTTTAAATTCCTACTCTATCTATAGTTATGTTGCTCCCCTTTCAGCCCTGATTTTATTATGATCTCCCTCTTTATAAAAATCAATTTCAACAAACGTTTGTCTAGTTTGTGTCTTTCTTAAAATAACACACTTTTGGATTTGTTGTTCTCTATTATATTTTTATTTTATTTTTTTTGGGAAAGGGTCTTGCTCTCTTGCCCAGGCTGGAGTGTAGTGGCGCGATCGGGCCTCACTGTAGCCTTGACCTCCCAGGCTCAAGTGACCTTCTCACTTAGCCTGCTGAGTAGCTGGGACTACAGGTGCATGCCACCATGCCCAGCATATTTTTTGGGGTACTTTTTGTAGCGAGGGGGTTTCACCATGTAGCCAAGGCCAATTTTTGAACTCCTGAGCTTAAACAATCCGCCAGCCTTAGTCTCCCAGACAGCTGGGAATACAGGTGTGAGCCACTGCACTTGGCCCTACTATATTTTTATTTTCTATTTCTACTCTTATGTATTACTTCCTTCTAACTTGGGGGCGTTATTCTTTTCCCCCACTATCTCCTTAAATGTCTAGCTCAATTTGTGTTTCACCTTTTCTAGTATGTATTAAAGCTATACATTTCCCCCTAAGTAGAGGGACTGTATCCAACAAGTGTTAATACGCAGTAATGATTAGTTTTAAATATTTTTTAGTTTCTGTTATGGTTTCTCCATTGACCCAATATTTAGAAGTATGTTGTAAAGCTCTAATCATATTAGGTTTGCTTTAGAAATCAATTGCATTGTAATCAGACAATACAGGTTCCATGATACAGGAAATTTTCCATCTACTTAAGAGTAACCATTTAGCAAAAAATACAGAAAAAAAGATCCCATCCAAATTATAGGCACAGAATTAACTTAAGGATTTCCTTGGATAGTCATTAAATATGATTGGTTAAGGATCCTCAAAATAAATTTGTATCAACGGCTTTTAAAAGATGTATTTGCTTTGATCTAGCAATTTATAAAATAATTTTAAGGTAGGAGAGATTTCCATTTTCAGCAATATGATACCAATTATGAGCATTATTGATCTTTATATCTCTAGCACACAGGAGGCATCCAGTGCATGCTGAATACAAATTTCTATTTGGCCCAAATAAAGCAGTGAATGTAAATATTCAACAAAACTGCTGACTAGCCAAAAATTGAAGTTATGAGAAACTGTCTTATTAAAGACATAGGCATATTGTCTCTTCTTTCTAAAGTATAAATGACGTGTAAATAATGATCCAATCATGAATGTACTAACACTTCATAACACATTTTTACAACTTGGCACAGCCATGAGGTGGGCATTTAGAAATAAACACAGCCCAGAATCACAAATGAAAGCAATATATTTCAGAGGAGCTGAATTAATAAAATGCTTTATCAGTTAAAAACAAACAAACAAGAATGCTGTTAAGAAATTTCAGTATTACCCTTTCTGCCTCTTTTATGTGATCCTGGGTCATCTTCATCTTCAGTGACCATATCTTGATCTAATTCCTTTTGCTCTATGTCTTTGCTCTCAGTGCTAGTATCAAAATCTTCCCTTTCTTCCTCCCTTTACAATAAAAACAAAGATGACATTTACTAATGAATATATGATTTCATTTATGAAATATTTACTGCTTATGAGGTACCAGGCATTATAGATTTAGGAAGTAATGAACAACATGACACAGTTTATGATCTTGCAGAGAAAACAGATAATTACACAGATCATTTTAAAAATATGTAATAAGTACTAAAACAAGAGAAGTTCAAGGTACTGTGAAAACATTTCAAGGAGAATGAAACTGACCCTTAGCGGTCAAAAGGGTTGGCTTGAAGAAGTGACATTTTACACTGTGAGACCAGGGAGATGGGGAGGTGTGTGCTGCAGAGGAATAACATATGCAATGGCACAGAGCTCAAGAGGATAGGGAGGAGCTTATAATTTTAAGAAAACTGTAAAGGAGAAAGCAGTAATTCAAGAGATAGATGAGAAAAAAAGGAAGGGTCAGATTAGGCTGGGCCTTGTAAGGCCTTATCCAAAAAACAATAAGAAAAAACCGGAAGAGTTTAGAAAAGGGAAATAATATTAGAAAGTGCTATAGCCACTGTGAAAAATCTTCCTAGGAAAGAAAGTAGAAGAGGGGA